TTTTATTTTTTTTGTGTTTTGTACCAACTCAACATTATTATTTATAGAGAAGTTGGTTGGTTAATATTCTATAGACGGTTATTTCTATGTGGTCAAATTTAGGATCTATTCATTTTTTACTGGATCTTAATTTAGAATCTTGAAACCGTTTTCTATATTTAACAATATGTATTTTTTTATTTTTAAATAAATTTTAAAATTTTAAAAAGACCTTTAATCAGAAATCATGAATTTTTTCTATTTTTAGGCTGCTTTCCGAAACTAGACTGATAAATGACAGTTCCTGGAATTTGAGCTTGCTTCATTTGCTAATGTCTAGCGTCTGCAACTCTATGTATTAATATATTCACACTTGAGAGTGTTACAAATAAGACAGCGGATGTACATACAATCAGGACTAAACTCTCCCCCTCTCTTTTGTAATTGGCGTGTGAGGTTTATTAGAATTATTGCATAAAATTAAAGTATATCTCCTAGATTTGAACTCTGCTTATGCGGTAGTCATTTTAATTTCAGGCTTACTGAAAATTCAGTCATTTTTAGGTTTGAAACATGTGGAACTCTGCATATTTATTTAGTAATGAAGATTGCAGCAATGCGCAAGTGTATTCCCATTCTGGACAAAAGTAATAATTGATATGCATAAAAGTTGAAATTAAGCTACTTATTTTGATCGTTCAAATTAAGTAACTTTTTTTAAGTTATCCACCCGTTTCTTCACAAGAAGTAAATTTTACATTTTAAAGCCTGCACATACATGCTCTAATAACGAATTAGACATGAAAAAGTTTGATTGCTTATAGCGTGACTGTTGGGTTTTTTGATACCCAATAATCCGGGCGATGATTTAAAACAGTTGTTGGATTATTTATCGACAACATGGACTTGGCTCGACTCGGAGATGAACTACACTTTTGGATGGTTCGGGTTTGGGTTGAATGATAATTTGGTTAGTTGGACCATTTAGTGATTAATATGGAGTTAAATATTGGCCCATTAGTTTAGGTTAATTGGTAGCCCGCTTAGTGAACCCTAGGCCCAATTAGAGTGACCTAAACTAACCTATATATATGTATTTATTTCCCAGCCGTTTTTTGGTGGTGTTTGTTGTATCAATGGAGAGGAGAGTTGAGAGAAGAGAGGCAACCGAGAGAGAGGGAAGCCATGTGAGGTTGTGAGTAAGATTCAACCAGTGTTCTTCTTCCTCTCCATACCTTTGTGGATTGTTAACACTACCACCCTTCTCCTTTGTAGGGTTAGAGAGAAAGAGAGTAGTCCAAAATGAAGGTGAAAGTTTCGGGTTGAGTCAAGGTAAATCAGTGTTCGTTTGATTGTTTTCTGAGCTCGGAATCAAGATTTATCGAGGGATTTCCGCTACAGTGACAACCTGCTCGATTCAAGATCTTGCCAATGCAGGAGCCACTAAGAGACCAACTTGCTGTGTTCTGCTACCAACCAAGCCCACCAAGGTGGAAATTACCCAGGAGGAATAAGAAAAGTTGAAGGGAAATTACAATCAGGTTGCGTCAGAAGTATCTGAATTTGCTAATTCTATGTTCTAATGGGCTAGATTCATAATGAAGATTGTACGCTTTATTTTAGTTTCATAAAAATGCTTTTCGTATCATTTCTGGGTTTCGGTGAAGTTGCTCTAAAACTAAACATGGGAAATTTTTTCGTCTTTTTATATCAAAAAACTCTTGTAAGACTGAGAAACAAAAATGGATTCATGCATTTGAGCTCAGTTCAGTCCAAATAAAATTTAGTCTCTCTTTGATCTTGCTAGAAATCAGATTTTTAGCATAATTTGTGACTTTAAAAGTCAATTTTTAAAATAAGAATAGTGGCTCAAAAAATACATCCAAATGGGCAAAATTATTTTGTTAAAAGCGAAAGTATGAATGTCGAGGGATGTTATATTTCTTTTGGGTCATAATTTCTCGTCAAAGATATTGTAAAATACAATTTAGTTCTTCATAATTGTTAATAAAAATTTATTATTGTAAAAAAAAAAAAATAAAAAATAAAAAAATGAGGACAAGACAGGAATTTATTGTTAATGTTAATTTTATTTTTAGAGGTTCGGTCTTCCAATATTTAGGGGTATATAACGCCATAATTGGGGTTGTCTTTGTCGGTTGTGCCTGCCTCGAGCCCAATTTTTATTGTACATATTTAAATATGAATATTTTTTAACCTATTATCCAAGTTCAAGTTTGTTTTAATAAATTCCAATTTTAAATTTAGCCTACTCTCACTCCACTCTTTTCAATATTTAGCCCTTGTTTGACAATTCTTATTTGTAAAAAATAATGTTTTGAATAATGATTTTTAAGAGAATGTAAGGTTAAAAGTAAGGAAAAATTTTGGTTTTACATGTAGAATATTTTATTGTGTGAATATATAGTTAAAAACGAGTATGTAAAAAAATATTTCCAAATAATAATTGTCAAACTGAAGCTTAGTCTTGTTTGTTTTAATTAAAAATTATTTTAATAAATTTTCATAAAAGTTGTTTTGTATTGTGTCTAGTTGAAATTACACCTATACAGAATTTTGAGGAGCACAATTCAGAAAATAAATGTAAAGAATCTTATAAAAACTCAGATACTTATTCATCTTTTAATATTATAAAATCATATTAATTAAGATAGATATCCACTCCACCTCATTGTCAAACCTAAATTTCTCTCTCTAGTCTTTACACTCTCTCCCCTCTCTCAAGCGATTTTAAACCTAAAATTTTCATCCTCTTCATCGTCTCATTCCCATCTCCCTCCTCACTTTCTCCATTCTCTTTGTCGATGACATAGCCGCATGTCACCGCTTCAAGAAGCAAACAGTATCCATCATCTTCGCCATGTGCCACCATTGTCTTTGCTCTCCTCTTCCTCCTCCATTCTTTATTTGTTAACTACGGCAGCACGCTGCATTACGGTCATGCGAAGCGGCCTTTGTCAATCGTTGTGCACAACTCGGAGCGACACCACACTGCTACGACACTATGCAACTGCGTGCAACACTCACAAGCTGCATCCCTGAGTGTTGTTGAGAACTCCGATAAAGCAGTTGATCGGAGAATCCACCACAAATGATGGTGATTGTTGCAGGTTTGGGGTATTGTTGGTGGGGTGGTGGCCGTAGTGTGGTAGCATTGCATGAGATGGTGAATTCTAGTAGGCAGTGGTGGTGGTTGATTGGAGCTGCAAATGAATGTGGAGGTGGTTGTTAAAGCAGGTGATTGTGGGTGTGGCCATGGTGGTTGATTTGAGAATTTTGGATCTTTTTTTTGTGGGGTTTGGGTGGTGGCGACGGATCTATGCAATTGTAGTGATGGTGGTGGATCTAGCAATTGTGGTGCGGTGGTGGTATAGGTGGTTGATGGCGATGAGGCATTAGTTTTATTTGTTAGAGTAGTGGTGGTAGCAGCTTCCATATTTTGGCGATGGCGGGGCGGTCAAGGATGATGGTCGTGGCAGTGCGATGGTGAGATGTCGGTGGCGATGGGTTTGTCGGGTAGTTGTGGATTTGGCGCGACAATGTGATGGTGTTTTTCTGCGATGTGTTGATTTGTTTGAGGTGGTGGTGTTGCTGTCAGGAGGTGGTGGTTTTGGCAGCAACGTGCCTTAGTGACACTATTGGAGGCAGTTGTGAGATGGTGGTTCCAAGTGTTGTTGGTGGTCACACATTATTTGGTTCATTAAATTAGTTAATCCGTGATTAATAAACAATACATGTCCAATGAAAAAGATAAATTGTGACAAAAAAATAATGTGACTTAAAAAAATTGTTAATTCGTGATCGGTAATTTACTAATTTTTGAGTGTCTTAATAAGTTGCAACTTATAATATTTGTGATTTGTGACAAATAAATAAATTGTGACGTATAAATTTTTAATTTGTGATCATGAACAAATTGTGACCTATAAAATTTTTGAATTGTGACCGTATAATAATTTGTGGCAAATAAAAATTATAATTTGTTATCGAAAAATAATATGTAATTAACTAAATTGTTAATTTGTAGCCAAATTATATAGATTTGTGGCTTTTATATAAATTGAACTAATAAAATATGTAATTAATTAAATCAAAAATAAATTTTAATAAGTATCTGATTTTTGAAATTTGAAACCTTTGTTCTTATTTTTGAAATGGATGATACTTTACTTCTTAGCTATAAATTTTTCCCTTGAACTACTAAAATATATAATTAATTAATTAAATTGTAAATAAATTTTAATAAGTATTTGATTTTGAAATTTGAAACCTTTGTTCTTACTTTCGAAATGGAGATACTTAACTTCTAAGCTATAAATTTTTCCCTTGTATCGATATGGCTCGTTTGTTGGATCATGTCTAGTTTGGACATTTCAACCCACTTTGGTCCATATTGATCATCTAATGCTTTTAGTAGTTTATATATATTAATGATTAAATTATATGAAATATTTCATCGTCTATACTATTGCTAATTGTACTCCAATTGAGCTACATTATTTAAAAACTCAAATTTTTCGAATTCATTTTCAATTACACTTCTTCCTAAAAACCCACACATCTTTCCCAAAAAAAAAAAAAAATTCTCTTGCAAAAAAAGTCAATTTTTTGTTTTTTGCTTTTTGTTTTTTGTTTTTTTGTTTTTATTTTTTATGAAGGATGGAGCTCAAACAGAAGTCACTGTCAAACATACCATAAAAATCCTATAAAACATAAAATAAAATCTAAAATTTGCATGATTGTGTGGAATTAGCTTGGAAATGGGTTCTCAATGGAAGACATAACGTATGAACCATAAAGCATTTCTAATAAAATTAAGAAAAAGACAGTGCTATCAAACCTCACCACTTCTGTATTTGCACGCACTCACACCTATGTATTCCAATAGCATTCTTAAAAATCTTTTGATAATGTCACAAGATGCTTCATTTCTTCATGCCAGAAGCCTACTATGAAACCTCCTTCCCAAGAACCCTAACCACCTTATATCTTTGGAAGAAATGAAGCATCTTGTGGCATTACCAGAAATAAAACCAGAAATAATTGCTACAGATCCTCAAAAAGAGAGTGAAAAAAAATTTGAGTGGGAAAATAGAACTACAAACGATCACAGTACTGTGGAAGTAAAGGTTGATCGTGAATTGATGAAAAATCAGGTTTTTGAGGATCAGAGACGTTACCGAGGTGTGATGCAGCATCCTTGGCGAAAATTCGCAGCAGAGATTCGTGATCCTAACCGGAAGGAGACTCTTGTGTGGCTCGGGACATTTGACACGGCAGTGGAGGCATCGAAAGCTTATGACAGGGCGGCTTTTAAACTTAGAGGAAGCAAAGCGATACTGAATTTGCCGCTTGAAGCAGGCCAATCCAACCCCTCTTCCAGTATATGACATCCTCAAGAAGGCTACAGAGAATTGTTGAATATTAAAATTAAATAAATAAATATGTGCCCTCCATTCCTCTAACTATTAATTTAACTTCAAAATCTAGTCCATTTAAAGTATCCATAGATCATGTTTTACTTATGTTTAATAGTATTTTTGGGGGAGAGGAGAGATTATTGATTTCTTTTGTTTCTACTCCCTTAATTCAGTGTAGTGTGAGACTTATCGATTTTGTGTACTAGACTATTATTTTTTTTTTCCGAATGCAATGACAATTTCTTTTAAAAATTTAATTTTTGTACTTCCATTTAAATTAAAAATTTTTAAAGATAATTTAATATCTAATCTACAATATATAAAAAGAAAGAATCGAGGAGAAACTTTTGAATACAATTTCCTTATATATATTTAGCTATATGCCCAATATACCCTTTCTCATAATTTATATTAATAACAGTAATTCGTGTAATAAGTTGTTGTTTAAGGAGAAATTTTTGAATATCAATTTTACTCTTATATAGCAATATGCGCAACATATCCTCACCCCTTATTTTATTCTCATAATTTACATTAATAACACTAATTCATATAATGAGTTGATATTTTAATTACCTTATAGTATTCATCCTTAAAATGTTAATATACTATTATTAGTTAACATTTGATACTTATTGATTTGAATACTGTTATTAATTTTTGATTTTTTTTAATACATGTGTTAAATGAATGGTAAGGCTTTTAAATCCATAATTACAATCTTTAAATCTTTTATTAATCAAATACATAGTTACAGAAAATTTCATTTTTTCATAATATATATATATAATAATTCGGGCATTAGGTTATATTTTAACTTGTATTGTAATATCCACCATTAGATCATAATATACAATTATTACTTACCATTTGAAACTTATTGATTTGATTACTTTTTTAAATTTGAATTTTTTTTCCTAATAAATGTGGAAAATAGTATAAGACATTTACAAGTTTTGAACTAGAATATATAGCCATCGAAATCATATTTACGATGCTTTTTTTTATTTTTTATTTTTACCATTTTCTTTACAATTTAGATTGGATTTTATGAAATGAATAATAAAAGTTGTACCTCCAAATATTTATAAAAATTGAAAATTTGGAATGCAAATTTTAAATATTCTGAAACGATACCTTTTTTTTGAGAATTTTAAACCAAGTAAGGAATAAGTGAGAAAAATTATGTGAAATCTCTCTACTCTCAATTCTCGAGTATAAACTTGAAATATTTTTTAAAGGCACAAGGCCTATCGATGATTTTTTATTTTTTATTTTATTATTATTATTTTTTTGTGGTGACGAAGTTGCAATTAGTGCTCGAAAAATTATCATATTGGATTATTAGTTTTGGATTTATATTCTACAAAATCTGCAGAGCCTTGATGTTCTAGCTGAAATACATTTGCATCTTGGTTATCAGCTTCAGCACAAATTTTTCATTTATAAATTACTTTGTTTTAACTACAGAAAATTTAATTCTAATAACTTAGTTTTGTACATATTACACGTGGGATTAATATTTTTTTTTTTTTTACTTAGCAACTTGAATTTTACATATTTTGATTTGTTTTTTTTTTTTCTATGATACTGAGTAATTAATGCACAATTTTTCCCTTACTGTTATAACTCCTCAAATGTGTCATGCAGTGAATACTACTGGTACAGATTTCAGATAAGGTTCAATGTCAAATCAATGCTTTTTTAACTAGATGACTACTACAATAGCTAGATTTTTATAGAGAACGCCAACTACAAATTACATCAGAGCTATATCAAGGAATTGTCGACATAGTGAATACTGGAGAGATCAATGGAAGATAAAGTTGGGAAAATAGTAGTCCTATCGTCTTCATTCGTTGGAAGACCTAGGAACATGCATAGCCCTTTTTAGACGATACGACATCGGTGCAAATATTTGGTAAAGCTGTATTTTTATAACAAAGACATGCAATGTAGAATTGAATGAGATAAAAATAGAACTTAAAGAAGTAAAGAAGGACAACACCCTCAAAACAAACCAGATTTAACATCAAGAATCTTTAGAGATGAATTAATGGATTTGAAAGATCAGATTTAAAAAAATATATATTTGGCAAGGTTGCTGCTTATGTATATGTCGTTTTTACCATATATCCATATGTTGATAATATTGTAAAGTGATAATTTTACTATGAGTGCTGACTAACATGACAAGTATTTTCGCACAAAAATTTCGTTTTTGATATCCAATGGGTGGTTACTTACAAACTATATTTGCTGTTGCAGCATAATTGTCACATTAACATTGAAAAATGCTATGGACTGTAAGTTGTTAGTATTTATATAAATATAATACAATGAACATGACACATAACCTGTTCATATATCATACGATGGTGCTTCTAACATCATAAATAAAATACAAGAGTTTCAAGATGGGTTTCTGCAAAAGAAGTTTCATGGAGAATATATGAATTTTGATTGAACAGAAATAGTCTCCAACATTAATAAACCTACAACTTCACCTTTTAACCAAAAAATTGTTTCATATTTGGATCAACGGGCTAAGCCCAAGTTTTTCATTTGGATCATGTCACAAGAACATTGTTGACGAAGTATTTTGAAATGTGTAAAATATTTATTGCACCAAGAAATGTTTTGTATAAGGAATTTTTCAAACGTTATGTGTGGGACAGAAAACGTCGAAAGTGGACAACCAAAAAAGGGCATGTTATCTCCTGCATTGGGGCGACAAGTCCTAGTGAATGAAAAAGATATTACTTGCGATTATTATCGAACTATGTAAATGACTTACCTCTTTTGAGTTCTTACTAATAGTTGATAAAATACATATGTTCATCGTTTAAGGAGGTAGCATTTATAAGATAATAGAACTTATGACAGCAACTTCATGTGTAACAACATCAATAATACTAGGAGGCATAACAGTCCATTCAATATTCAATATTCCACTCCAAACTAATGAATCAAAAATGTGTAATATATCAAAGCAGAGTACTACAACATAATTGATTCGATAGGCAAGACTTATAATATGAGATGAAGCATCAATGACCAAAAATAAAAACACAATAGAAATCATTGATAGAATGAATATCTTGGACAATTTAGAACCAGTTCGTGGAAATACTTTTGTAATCAGAAGAGATTTTCACCAAGTAATATCTATCATCTCAAGAGCAACAAGAAAACAAACAATAGAACAAAATTTGGCTAGATCTCATCTTTGGGAGAAAATGAAAATCTATAACTAAATGAAAACATGTGTGCTCAAAATGAGAATCGATCTACAAAATACTTGATCCAAATTGAAAATAGAAATGAACCTCACATAGGGATGGCTTGATCAACTTACCAAATGAGATAGTTATAGCAAGTGATGATGCTAAAATTTCGAAGTTACTACAGTTCTTTTGATTAAATGACATAACGTAGAATTCTTTCAATGAAAAATGAGTATCTTGATCACCTCAATGACAAATTAATTGGATATTTCATAGAGAAAGTGAAATGTTTGTAAGCTTTGAATAAGCAATACATGATACAAATTAATTTTACCAAGAGGAGTTTCGAAATATTTTGTTGTCAAATGGAATCTCATCACATAAGTTAATATAAAAAAAAAAATTGTTCATCGAGGAATCTAGACCCCATCAAACGATTTTTGCAATGGAACAAGAATGATTTACCGGGATTTTAAGAGACACGTTTCATGTAGAAATAATAGTTTGACAACATCTAGTTAGCTCCAAGCAAATGGTGAATGATATCTATTCAAATTCAAGATGAAACAATTTTCAATACATCTATACTTTACAATGACCATTAACAAAGCTCAAGGATAAACAACGCTTACTATTGGGATGTACCTTCTTAAACATTTATTTTCTCATGGACAATTATATGTTACACTTTCTCGTAGAGTTTCAACACAAATAACAAAAAAATGTAGGACATTAAAAAAAATATTTCGTATAAAGAAATATTACTATAATTGAAATGTTACAGTTTAGTTTATTCGACATTTTCACATATATACATAATTTCATAATATGTTTTAATAATTTATATTCTTTTTTAACAATTTAATTTTTCCTTTAACAATATTATTAATTCAACTACTCTCGAAAAGGTATTAGTACTTTAAAAATATTCCTCATATAATTCATCAGATACATAAAATGTGCAATGCACGTGCTTACTACTAATTTATATTTACATTTGGCAACAAAGCTTAATTCCAAATAAACACCATGTCTTCTCTCAAAATGATGTGCACTTTTTAAATTTCCAATATCATTAACAACAATCATTAATATTTCTTAATTTCCCCATAAAACTTTTATTTCTCTCACCACTACCATCTCTTTCTATTCTCTCACTAAAAATGGCTGCAAATCCTCATCTCATTATCCTCTTGCATAAAATTTTAGCTCCATTATGAATTAAATTCTATGCTTCATTAAATAATGGTTTTTCCAATCACATTCTTCATTATCACCAATCATAATTTTGTCTCTCTAAATTCTCACCAACTTTCTTCAATTGTTTGTTGTTGATGGGAATGCTTTCAACGACTCCCCCGTCGAAAAATGTTTGGGTTTTCTACAAAATTGTGGGTTCAAGCTATCTTTGACATCAATTACACTTTATCTAATTCTCCAACTGTCTCTCCACCTTCGTCATTCTCCTCATCAGCTCAATTGAAGTGTTTATTGGTTACGACATTCAATAGCTCGTCGTTAGCCTTCGCGTCCAACCCCTTCCTTATTGGGCTGTAAGTAATTTATCGAATTGTAAGTACTATTTTCTATTGTGAAGTGTGAACTATAATAATAATTGTATCTGAATTTGGGTAGATACATTGTTTTCCACTGTGAAATCCCACCTTTGTCCACCTTTTTGGAAGAAAATGATGATATTAAATATATCGGTGTAATTAATGTTCTTGATGTTGTCATCACACACTATCTATTGGCATTTGACATTATAGGAGGTCATGGCCAACTATTTTCCAATTTCTTGCTAAATGTGCTTTTGGTTCTTTTAGCTTCCCCTATATCAATTCCAATTCACCTCGTGTTAAAGGATTTCATTCGACCTTATTTTATTCTAAATCTATGGATATTGAACGTACCCATAGCAGATGTGGGAAAAATTGTGGAAGTTGTTGACCTCACTTTTTGTAGAGGTGACGTGGTAATAGATCCTAGATCCTCTTGCTTCCACGTAAGCTTTGGTTCTGTGTACTTGAATAAACCGTTAGATATTATATTGCTAGACTCAGATGGTGGGAAAGGCGACCACAAACACTCCAATGATTAAGTCAGTACTAGTAAAATATATGTTTAGATGTGGGATGATCTTAATAATCAAATATATCAAAGAAAAAGAGATTCAAAATTGGAAGGATATAGAGGACAGAAATAAATAGATAGGGTTGCATAGTTTATACTGTAAATTTGTATTACCTTTGAATGGGAGTACTTGTGAGCTTTTATAGTAGAAGTTGATAAAGGTGAGCCGTTGGATGAAGATACATGTGGCATCATCCACGCGTTTGGAATCTCTTGTCGTAGACATCAATCAATCATTCACAAGCTAGGCTGCGATGAGTTTGGTGAAGGTATAAGACTTTACATGACTTATTGATAGAGTGGAGTAGCCCTTTTAGTGAGACATCAAATCACCTACTTGCAACAAGATCTTTCATAAAGATCCTTTCTTCAGGTACCTCTATAGGTTTGCCTCAACCGTTGTGGATTGGCTATGATTAGTGGATTTGGTTTCGTTATATGGGTTCAACTACTAATCGGTTGGGCTATAATTGTCACGTCACCACAATGATGTAGTGTTCGTGCCTATATTTTTTTACAAGAGGTTTTACCACTTGGTTCTGATTAGAGCCTTGTTGACGAGATGTAACAATAATCTCTCAAGTTCGGTACAGACGGATATTCATATAATGTTAAAGAACGTATCATACTTTCTGTTTACGGATCATTTAAAGAAGGGACACATTTGTGCCATAGCATAATAGTCCTCCAAGTCCAAGCATAGTTGTTCATATAATTCATGAATTTAAGAAATAATTGAATATAAAACTGAAATAAGCTTTGATGAGGTCCTTGCATAGATGGCGAGTCATTAGAAGCTGTTGAAGCCTATCAAATGGATGAAATAAGTTTTACGGAGGCCCTTGCATAGAGGGTGAGTTATTAGAAGCTTTGAAACCTATTAAAAGGATGAAATTAGCTAAAGCTTGCTCTAGCATTAAGGTGGAACGTTGTATGGGTTCTACTATAAAACAACATATATGGGATGCATGCACAATGATTTTAACTGTCTCGTCTTCCAAGAAAAGACATTAGGCATTTTTCTTAAACTTTTGATTATCTACATAGTAGGAGTGGGTGCGCTCCGATTCCAAAGGAAACCGAATTGAATCGAGTACCAATGGGAATTTTAGAAATGGAACCATTTGTTCCATAACTAACCATGGAACCGAACCAATCGGTTTCCATTCGGTTCGGTCTGGTTCTTTACATTGAAAATGTCAAAATAAAATGTTCACTAATAAAAACTCTAAAAATACTACCAACATGATACTTTTACCAAAATATAGAAGAACCGAACATACTATTCAAAGATTTATTTAGGTATAGATTTACAAAGT